AGCGTGTACTGTACATTTTGTTTTAGAATTCCATTAGAAACACTGCTTTACAATAATGAATTCAAAAAAAAACCAAAATTAATGACCATAATATAAATTTGATTGTATAACCAAAACATTGACCTTGAGCAAAATTATGAAGATAATACCACTCATTCAAATTTATTCAAGCGAAGTTTTTTTTTCTGTTTTTGTTCATAATGCTGATCAAGTGTAATTTTTCTTTTTTGACCACCAACTTCACGTTCTAATGTTATCATAATTTTATCAATTAATTCACCAACTGTAGCCAGTATATCACGATTCATTATTTTTTCTTGTTTTTCGAATTGTTCCACTTTTTGTTTTAATTTTTTTATTTCTTCTTGTTGATCTTCAAATGCCTTCTTCCATTCTTTATTGCAGAGATCAAGTTCGTCTTGAAGATCTCGTACTTCTTTTGGAGGATCCAAATCAATATTCTAAAATAAGAAAAGATTTTTTTTCATTCTTTGAACTGGTTTCAAATCGATCAGATTATTGGATGGCTATTTAACTTACTTCAACAGTACTAATACCTAATGTTTTTCGACAAGAAAAAGTCTTCTTGATCAATTAAATTATAATAACAGGCAATTTGCAATAACAAATAATTAATAAAACGTTGAGCGTTATTAAATTATAGACGTACCTTGCTTGGAAAACACATCGTTTTCCTATTCTGTATGTGTATAAATGTATGCTTACGGCCATACCACGTTGAATACACCAGTTCTCGTCCGATCACTGAAGTTAAGCAACGTCGGGCTCGGTTAGTACTTGGATGGGTGACCGCCTGGGAATACCGAGTGTCGTAAGCTTTTTTTTTTTGCCGCCATGGTTGAGTGGTTACGTTGCTTGGCACGTACCCACAAGGTACTGTGTTCAAACCTCAGTAACATCATCCATGGAATGACCCTGGACAAGTCACTAACGGCTAAGTTGTCTCAAATGATTCATTCCACATGAGTCATTCGTGCTGACTACATCGTTAGTCAGTATGTTGGACGGAAGAGGGTGTAGATACCGCCGTCTATAAAAAGAAAAAGACGATAGAACCCGGCTGCATGTGGAAACCAGTAATAATAGCTGCGGCCGGCCCCAACAGGCGATAAGCCTATGGGACGTTATTATTATTATTATATTATATAAATGTATAGGTATGCTTATCTCTATTTATGTACAAATTTAAACAAGGGAACAAAGAAATACGTTGTGCACCAATGATTACGCATCTCGAACGAGTAGTATGCCTCTCGTTCAGTTTATCAGGCGATATCTATGGTTGTTTTCCAAAGTACATCAACGATTCATTCTTCTATGCTAATCATTTTATTTCTTTCAATAAAACATTTTAATATGTCGATACTCTGCTTCATTCATATTCGCTTCAATGTTTTATAGCAAAGATCTTAGGTCAAAGAAGCATTCCAAAAACTATAATCAAGTAGTGCAAAATATGTAAACATTTTTAAGATTAGTATGAATGTGAATTATGGAAGACAATACTTTGATAAGATTAGGCTAATCAGAAGTCATGCTATGAAAAAAATCAAGTAAATCGAATTATTCATATAAGTAATTGTTGTTGAAAAAGTTCAATATTGTTTCAACCAGAGCTGCCAGCCTAGTCTGATGGTCTGCAGATCAGGCCGGGCCGAAGTTTGTTGTCTGAATAACACGTAGTTAAGCTTTGGTATGTTGATCAATTCTGATTAGAAGTGGTATTGTAGATTTGAAATACTTTGGTAAATTTGTTGAAGCTAAAGTTTTACTTTAAACTTTGACAATCAATGTTAAAATGACATGATTTAATTTTTAGACGACCATCTGTTGCATACCTCGATTTCTACCATCTCATGCGAGTCTTGTCTTAAACAAAATTGTGAATGTTTTACCTCACTGTATTCTGTAATGAATGACAGTATTGCATATTAATAATATCAAATTTTCTTATCCATTCTAGTTTGTTTAGTATGAACTACAAAGATTCAAACTGTCACCTAACTGTGAGAATTTAAGTCAACTCAAAAGGCTACATTTATTCTTGATGATAGATAATTCTTTTCAGTTAATTTTCTTTTGCTTACCGTTTCACATGAGCTCATGATTGAGCTAGAATATGCCTCAATAGAGAACGAGAATGAATGCACAACAGGAACAGAGATGACTAATAATACAATTCAACTCGATATTATTCAGTAAAAGAAGATCAGTAGTAAGTTTTTCTGACAGACATTAATAGTGTTTGCT